ACATGGTCAGGTGGAAATGCAGTGGGCCTGGGCAGCATCCTCTGGCACTGGGATTACTCATCTACCTGCTCTGTGATGGAACTGGACAATGTGGTCTCTCTCTTGTGGCAAAAGCTATGCTTAGAACTGGGAGCAGTGGGAGGCTGTGGGATGCGGGGGTATGGAGAGGGCATCCTGCATGGGATCGGCTGTGGGGGCAAATATGGTTAGGATTTATTAGGCTTTGAACTTTTTTTTTTTTTGAGTTGAAGTCTCACTGTGTTGCCCAGACTGGAGTGCAGTGGCATGTTCCTGCCCATCGCAGCCTCGACCTGCTGGGCTCCGGCGATCCTTCCACCTCAGTCTTCCAAGTAGCTGGAACTACAGGCGCGCGCTACCACGCCCAGCTGATTTGTTGATTTATTGTAGAGATGAGGTCTCGCCAAGTTGCCCAGGCGGGTCTCGAACCTGCGGGCTCAGGCAATCCACTCACCTCAGCCTCCCAGAGCGCGGGATTACAGGCTGAGCCACCGAGCCCGGCTTAGGCTTTGAATTTTTAACATGAATGTTCTTCTGTCATAAAACTTGTCAAGGGTAGCAACTATATATTCCTTGAAACTATTATTGAGCTAATGCTTGTTTCCCCCTTTGTAGCAACAGGGACTGTGTTGTTTTGCTTACCGTGTGTCTGGTATTATAGTTGACGCTCAATAAATAGTATGTTTGTTAGAAATCATTGGGAACTCAGAAAGAAAGGGAAGGAAGACAGGACAATAGACACTGGGGGAAAAAAAGTAAGCCATGGCTTCTTCAAACAGTTCAGATATCTGCTGTTAAGCCTGCTCTTCATGCTGGAACTATTTAAAGCCATTTTGGTAAAGCGAGCAGGATCTGCTTGCTGAGGAAATTGTTATTATACACTGGTTTAGTTAAGAAAATAAAATGAAATACTATGGTATCTTTGCTATTTGTTCTCCATCTGAGTAAGTTCCCAGGGCCTACTATTTATTTGGCCAAGGAGACTTATAACAGCTTAGTTTGTTATTTAGACATTACTTCTACCCCCACCTTCACCCTCTGATAACCTTTTCCTCAAGATGAAATTTCGTATGAAAAACACTTGAGCCATGGGCCAGATATATTAACTCAAACACTGAGGACACATCTCATATGTGACACATGAAAATAAGATCTCCCTCCCTCTTTCTCAAGTTCCTTTTGGTGATACCATCTCTCAATTGGGACTGCATCTTTGTGAGTGACAACTTTCATGAAACTGCTACACACCTGGAACTTAAGTGAACAGTATTACGCTTGCTTGATATTTCAAAAGGTGTCCAGTGTGATTCCAACTGCAAAGGTTTGTATTATTTTCTTAGACAACCTTAGCTACTGGATAACTAAGTCTGCTTTCTTACCTTTCCTGTCTCCGGGGTTATTTCACAATTTGCCTTATTTCACTGAAGGTTCACAGGTCAGCCCACAATGGCTCATCCCCAGGATCCGCCATTTCTCAAAACTTTTCATCTACATGATTAATCTGTTAGGTTCTCAGGGCAGGTGACTGCAGACCCGAGGTGATTTATCCTTGGAAAGCCTCTGTTCCCTTTAAAAGGCCTTCCTGGTTCCAGTGGCAGGTATAGAAATTCTTCCTTCGGTTTCAAGCAGTACCTTCCCAGTGTTCTGAGTTTTAAATTTGGGGGAGGGGGAAGCAGACACACGAGGTCACCTTTGTGAGGATGTTTTCTGAAAAAGATTATCTGTGGATCAGATAAGGACCAGGGCAAGTCGGAAAGCACTTGTGACCTTGGGGAGGAGGAGGAAGCTCTGAGATTCAGCGCCAGGGAAAGTGGAAGAGGACAACCTTTAAAAAAATCCGTCATTGGGTCTAGGCCACAGGGTGTCTTTCAGATGACCAGACTCAGGCTCTAGTGCTCATCGACGGTTCTTTTCCTGCTACCGCAGCCTCCATCCTCCGCCACTTCTCCCGCAGGGCGCCGGCGGCCTCAGCGGCATCCTTCCTGCTTCTCCCACCGCGCGGCCCCGCGTTCGGGCCCCGCGCTTCCCGCCGGCGAATCCAACAGAAGATTCCTGCACGCACCCTCAATTGTCACCCTTTGGCTCGTTCCCCCGTGCCCAGGGCGTTCGGTCACCTCTGCATACATCATAAGAACCAGAGCCCAGGACCTGCAAAACCCACTGCTGATCGGTCCTGCTCTCTTCCCCACCAGTGAAAAGCAATCTTATTTCTTGCTCTGCGTCTGGCAGTCCGACATCGGCAGACACGCCCGCGCCGCTGTCCCCTCGCCGAGCCCGCAGGTCCCGTCACCTCGGGGCCGCCCGCACCTCCTTCTCCGGCCTGGGCCTCTCCCCGCCCCCCGCCGGCGGTCCTCACCGCACAAACCCCGAACCTCGCCGTTTGCATGGCCATACTCCCCAGAAACTTCTAGAAGAGGGTCTTCTCACCTCATTCAGTGTCCAGGAGCCCCAGGTATGCCTTGACTGTGACAACATAGCTATAATTTTCTGCCTCTGTCTTCACACACAACCATCTT